TATATTTATATATTTGTATTGAACAATATTTACATAAACATATTTGCATATATTTATATATAAATTTATATGATATAAAAATTTATATTTATATCAATAAATAATATGTATTTGTATAAATGTACATAAAATGTTATATATTTTATGTTTATATTAACTATAATTAAATATATTTATGTTAAATATATATAAATACTCTAATATTTGTATAAATAAACATATAGTGAGTCAAATAATCAAATCTTAGAGTATCAAATCTTAGAGACTAAATAGTGAAAGTCTCTCATTTTGAAGAGGAGGACACTGAATCCCAGAGAAGTAAGGGCATTTGTCAAGATTTCACAGGTGAACGGGAAAAAACAAAGCCAGATTTGGGATTAGAAAGCAATTTTTCTGATTCCAATTCTAGCATCTATGAGTCTAGGGCCTGCAAGAAAGGGAAAGGAACAGTTGAGTGTTTGAAATAAGAGAGAAAAACCTCATGCTCCCCTGGGCAGCCATGGGAGGAACTGTATTTGCTACGACAGACCCCGAATGGGGATTCTAGTCAGTGTTTCTCCGGCACCATCCCCTACGAGGGTCGTGTTGCCGCCCGCCTTGCGCTCTGGTTTAGTCACTGCCCTCCAGGGAAAGTTGGTCTTGTTCAGGAGGTGGGCCTGCAGTATCCAGCAGGCTCTTGTTCCACAAACGTACATATCATTGCCTCTGCTGAGTACAGTGATGGGGGAAGAGTTTGCAGGAGAGCTGTGAGATAAAATCAATAGGAATGTTTTGTGTTTTGGTTAGTGATATGAACCTCAGTTCTCTGCTCTCTGCACTTGAAAAATGGTTTGGGGACCCTTCCTTCTACACACATGGATTCCTCTTAATCCACAGAATGTCTAGTTCTGTGTTTGGGTAGTTTCAGGAGCCTACTGCCCAGTGTGCCCATCATGATCATTAAAGATGTTAATTCATGGTCTTGTGCTCTTCTGATAGCAGCTGCAGCCACAACAATCAACTCACTTCTTTCTTCTGGGGTAGGAAGATGACGAAGGGGATTTTTTCAAATGTCTTCTGGGAGTTCAGTGGGGAGGAGAGCAGCTAGAGCGTTTGCACCCAGGAACTGACTCCGTCACGCTGTGCCACTGCCACTGCAGAGACACACGGCTGAGTCCCTCGGCTCTGCGGGATGGATTTTCAGCGTGGACGATGTTCCGTTAGGTCTTTCAGCTGTGAATCATTCCTTGGGCATCCCTGAATCAACTGCAGTGTTTTTGTATTGGAAGAAAATCAGAATCTCCAGTTCTTGCCTTAGATTCTGTCAGTACCAGTAAACAAATATGTGACCAGACAATAAATCACACCTCAGCATCACCTCCTATCCCATCTCTGTGACCTGGTGTCTGGGGGTCTGGCTGACTCCAGGCTCCGAGCATCCTGTGGGAGAAGACAGATGCCACAGAAGATGAAGGGAAGCCCAAAGAAATCATCTTTTTGGTTTGTTTGTTTTGAGACAGGGTCTCTCTCTGTTGCCCAGGCTGGAGTAAGGTGGCATGATCTCTGCTCACTGCAGCCTCCACCTCACAGGTTCAAGTGATCCTCCCACCGCAGCCTACCAAGTAGCTGGGACTATAGGAGCATGCTACCATGCTAAGTTTTATATTTTTTGGTAGAGAAGGGGTTTCACCATGTTTTTTTAAATTGCATTTTAGGTTTTGGGGTGCATGTGAAGAACATACAAGATTGTTGCATAGGTACACACATGGCAGTGTGATTTGCTGCCCTCCTCCCCATCACCTATATCTGGCATTTCTCCCCATGCTATCTCTCCCCAACCCCCCACCCACCACTGTCCCTCCCCTTTTCCCCCTGACAGACGGCACTGTGTGATGTTCCACTACCTGTGTCCATGTGTTCTCATTGTTCAACGCCCACCTATGAGTGAGAACATGCAGTGTTTGATTTTCTGTTCTTGTGTCAGTTTGCTGAGAATGATGGTTTTATAGGGACAGGTTCATCCATGTCCCTACAAAGGACACCAACTCATCATTTTTGATGGCTGCATAGTATTCCATGGTGTATATGTGCCACATTTTCCCTGTCTAGCCTATCATCGATGGGCATTTCGGTTGGTTCCAGGTCTTTGCTATTGTAAATAGTGCTGCAATGAACATTCGTGTGCATGTGTCCTTATAGTAGAATGATTTATAATCCTTTGGATATATACCCAGTAATGGGATTGCTGGGTCAAATGGAATTTCTATTTCTAGGTCCTTGAGGAATTGCCACACTGTCTTCCACAATGTTGAACTAATTTACAATCCCACCAACAGTGTAAAAGTGTTCCTATTTCTCCACATCCTCTCCAGCATCTGTTGTCTCCAGATTTTTTTAATGATCGCCATTTCAACTGGCATGAGATGCTGTCTCAATGTAGTTTTGATTTGCATTTCTCTAATGACCAGTGATGATGAGCATTTTTTCATATGTTTGTTGGTCTCATATATGTCTTCTTTTGTAAAGTGTCTGTTCATATCCTTCGCCCACTTTTGAATGGGCTTGTTTTTTTCTTGTAAATCTGTTTTAGTTCTTTGTAGATTCTGGACGTCAGCCCTTTGTCAGATGGGTAGTTTGCAAAAATTTTTTCCCATTCTGTTGGTTGCCGATTCACTCCATGTTGACCAGGCTGATCTCAAACTCTTGACCTCAAGTGATCCACCCGCCTCGACCTCCCAAAGTGCTGGGATTATGACCTTGAGCCACCATGCCCAGCCAAGAAACATCTTTTATGCAAATTCTTACATATACCTGAACTCACCTGCCCCCAAGAGATGCAGGGTCCCCCAGCAGAGGAGCGTGATGTCCATGATGAAGTCAGGCAGGACAAGGCACACCCAGCGATGGGTTCTGATGTGCAGTAGCAAACAGCACTGAAAGTTCTGGGTTCCCTTGGCCCCATGAGGTAGGATCTGGCCATGACATCGTGTCCCCAGCAACACCCAAAACCTCAGGGCACCTTCCGTAGGAGATGGGGATCCTTGGTTCAAATATTTGACCTCATCCTTATTTTGCTTCGTGGATGATGTAAACAGGGCTGCAGTCCCACTTGCTGGTGCTTAGGAGAGCTGAAATTAAGAGAAACATAAGAGGAAGTGGAAAAGGAAAGAGAAGAAAGTGAAAATAGAAAAAATGAAGAACAAAATTGTAAAACACTACAGAAGAATTGCAATTTTATTAGCCTTATGAAGTCCTCTGGCCAGAGCTTTAGGACAAACAGAAATACTCAGGAGCAATGATATGTATTCCACCAACAAGAAATTTTGACGACCCTGTCCTAGAATATAACTGTTTAACCTATACCTCAGGTGATACTAAGAAAAGTTGTCTCAGACCACACTTCAAAATTTTTTCTTTCTTTCTTTCTCTTTCCTTTTTTCTTTTTTTTTTTTTTTTTTTTGAGATGGAGTCTCTGTTGTCCAGGCTGGAGTGCAGTGGCATGATCTCAGCTCACTGCAACCTACACTTCCTGGGTTCAAGCGGGTTCAAGCGATTATCCTGCCTCAGCCTCCTGAGTAGCTGGGATTATAGGCTCCTGCCACCATGTCCGGCTAATTTTTGTATTAAAATTTTTTTTCAGTAGAGATTTTTAAAAGGCTAAACAAAAAAGAAGACCACTTTTCCATTAAACTAGAATGTTAAATTGTAAATAGAACGAGAAGAATTTTCCTGGGAAAGAGAATATTAAATGGATAATTTTAGTTTCTGGGAACTGCATTGAAAACAAAAAGAAAAGGGATGAAATGAGAAACCTAGTTGAAAATGAGGTAAATGAAACTGAAGGAAAATTAATGCTCAGGACTTAGGGCATGGTCAGTATTGTCAAGAGCTTCAAAGAGATCAGCAGGCAAAGAAACAAATATGTGTCTTTTGGTCTGGAAAATATGTCATTTTAATCTTTAGGAGAACAGTGTTTTTTTTTTTTTTTTTCTCTTTTTTTTCCCAGACAGAGTCTTGCTCTGTCACCAGCCTGGAGTGCAGTGGCACAATCTCGGCTGACTACAACCTCCACCTCCCAGCTTCAAGCGTTTCTCCTGCCTCAGCCTCCTGAGCAGCTGGGATTACAGGCATGCACCACCACGTCTGGCTAATTTTTGTATTTTTAGTAGAGACAAGGTTTCACCATGTTGGCCAGGATAGTCTTGATCTCTTACAGGCGTGAGCCAGTGTGCCCGGACAGGGGAACGGTTTTGTTAGAATGGAAATATTCCAAGAAAAAGCTGAAGATGGCCTCTAGAGGAGTGACTTCCCTGTGACAAAAGCAAAGATATAAACCACCAATATCAAGACTGGGCTTGAGAGTGACCGAGAAGTGAATGCTAAGGAGCACGTACTTCTGGCGAGTGGGAAAAGGAGCCTGAAATGACAAGGTGGCTGGGCATGGTGGCTCATGCCTGTAATCCCAGCATTTTGGGAGGCTGAGGAGGGTAGATCACGAGGTCAGGAGTTTAAGAACAGCCTGACCATTATGGTAAAACACCATCACTACTAAAAATACAAAAATTAGCTGGGCGTGATGGCACAGGCCTCTAGTCCCAGCTACTCAGGAGGCTGAGGCAGGAGAATCGCTTGAACCC